TGTGGGAATAATATATTAGTAATATATTAACGATAATAATATATTAATAATATATTAATGATATCAATAATAATATAATATATATGTTATATATTTATATTCTATAATAAATTATCCTGCTGCTAAATTTTACATAGATTACTGTGACCAATGCTGAAAGACTAAAACTGGTGAATAGCACTAAAATTTATAGTACAACGGAAATAATCGGCTTACCATACATCATTCAAGTAATCGAATTTCCACTTTTATCAGTCGTGCAAGAGTAGAAAGCTTAGAAAATTTAAAATTTAAAATCTATAAGTTGACTTTTATCTATTTCATTGAATGGATGAATTTTAATTAATTATTGCGATAAATTTTAAATATCGCAAGTTTGACAAATAAAACGAACAATTTTCCACTTTTAACAGCATTAACAATTTTGTTTACCTTATTCCACTGACTGCTAAAATGGAACTCTTTTGTCCGGGAACCAATACAAGTGAAGTTAACTTTAGAAGCCTTCAGAACCGCATGCACTAAATTTTAGTAAAAATTCGACTTAAATCTAATTAATTTAAGTTAATTTATGCATTCAAGAATAATGGGAAATATAGGCCATTCTAATATTTAATTGGTGGAAATTTCTAAATTTGAAGGAAATTGCTAAAATTTGACGAAATCATAAAATTTGAAATTTGGAAATCTTCAATGGATTTCAATTTTTTTCGAAAAAATTTTGTAAATTTTGATGTGAGAAAAATAATGAAATGAAAATTTTAATACAAATGAATATTTGTATTTGCAGCAATAAAGAAATATTTTACAAATGTGGTAAGCAAGCATGCATTTATTTAATTTTCCTTTGTCTGTAGATGCGCATATGTGAAAGAAAGTAAAAGCTAGAAGAGAGGGTAAACCTTTTTTGTGCTTTCCATTTCCTGACTGCATTGTGAAAAAATAAGAAAACGGTTTATCTTGGCGGGGTTATTGGTGTAAAAAATATATTTTTGAAAAAATATTTTTGAAAAAATCAAGAGAATGGCATGATCTAAATTTTTTGTAAGTAAAGGATTTGAACAATAAATTAATAAAATCATTTAAATTTCACGAAAATTCGGTATTAAAATGTAAGGTTCTTTAAGTAAATAGCTAGTGCATTCCTCATCAGCTTTGCTGATGTTCTACTTCCGACAGAAGCAAACTTGCCCAAAATGCGGGCAATAGTGTGGTGCATCTATAATCCTATCGCCAAATAGCTGCCTGGCTTTTTCTGGTCAAATAGCTGAGTGCAACAAACCCAACAAAAAATGATGGGCAAGAAGCTCTAATGCGTATTAGTACACTTTCAAATCCCTACTAGGAATCATTTAATGATATAAATGCAAGCATCTCTGGGTTTTTTAATGATAGATTTATTCCTGTTAGAGACAAGAGTCATTGCCTCGCAATAAGATAGCCTGAGCTATTATCCACTCGAACCATCCTAATCCAGTTCCTGCTTATATTATATATTTCAATTCCATTAAACCTAATAATGTCGTCCAGTCTGAACTGATTTTTGAAGAATTTTTTTTTCATCATCACACGTTTTGTTCACATCTATGCAATTGCATAAAATGCGATTCAAGAACTTTTAAATACAGTAATTGAAATAAAATTTTAGGAATTTTAACTCCAGCGATCGAAAATTAAATAAATATATAAATCCAAACAAGCTTGAGCTATACCTCATGAAGATCATATGCAATAAAAACCAGATGGAGGAAAATCTTTAAAAAATCTATAAAAATCTATTAAATTTTGATACAAACTGATTTTCTGTCTGATAATCTATAAAACGATTTTTACAAGAAACCACAGGTTTTTATAAAATAAAGTTCGATAAATTTAATATGCAGTGGAAAAATAAAAGTAACCATTATTTCATTCTTGACAAATTATTTTTAAAAAGATTCGTAAGTACTAATTCGTAAATAAGGTTAGAAAAAAATTTATAGATTTAGAATTAATTTAAAAAAATTGGTAATCCACTAATTTGCTGTAAACATAAAGCTTCTTAACAATAATCTTAAAAATGAGAGCTGTCCAAATTTTCATAACTGCTATTATCCATTACCCATAGTAGAGGGAATTTATTTTCATAAAATTTATTCAATTTAATTTAATTCACTTTATGACCACTATTCTCGAAATAAATGACTAAGATAAAGGCCAATATGACTTGTATTAAATTTCTTTCTCCAGGCTAAAAAAGTCTCATCTATATTCCACACTATAGGTGGCTAATGAATCATGAGGTGCGTGCTTAGAAGTCAAAAGGCTGAATTCACATTATTATTTCAACTACTATTAGAAATAAATATTGCGATTTATAAAGAGCATCAGCGTAGATGGGTGAAAACAAACAATCAACTATTAAAATAAAAAACAATAATTAGCTTATAATACAATAGGAAATAGGAAAAAACGTGATTTTCAGTTCAAACTGATGGTAACGTCTGAAGATGGGTTCATGAAAAAGTTTTCTAACCACATCCATTTATCTCTATAGTTTATATGTTGGAAGGAATAACCTAAAAAACTCGTTTCTTGCAAAAAATTCAAGATTTAATCCATGAGGCCAAACTTCTATATTTAATATAAGAAATCTTCAAAATTCCATTAAATCACCAAAAGGCTTACCTGTTTTTGATTGAAAATCTTATTGAGAAAAATGATTGCCGCGAAGCAAGAACCCGAATACTGATGAATCCTGTCACAGAAATAAATATTAACAAGAATAATGGTGATAAATTGCAGTCATTGTTTAAAATATGGCGAAGCTGGAATTACAAAATTCTTAAGCGAACTATTGAAAAGTGGTGAATATTTTTTCTACGGTTTTTTAAGGCTTAAAAACTGCGATTCTATAAATTTTTTAACTATTTTGCAAATAATAATCATAATTAACTCTATAAATTTGATTGTGAACTTATAAAAATGAAACTTTGGAATAACTTTTTCTTCTATTATTCGATTATTTATCTTTATGAATTCAGCGAAAGAAAGAAAGAAAGAAGTCTTTCTTCCCCTCTCTATCAAAAAATGACCAAAATCTTTTGTCATGCATATTCTGAAAATTGAAACAGTTGCTTCGAACCATTTTTGGAAAGTGGCTGGCACTTTTGATTACCGCCAAATGAATCTTGTAATATATAAGGAGAATAATATTAATGTGGCACTTCTCAGAATTTTTAAATATGCGATTTATTTAAGATTTTTTACGAATTTGAAATAAAATTTATATTTTTCAAATATTGAAAATATTATATATTGAAAAATTGTTGTTTATTTAAATTGCTGGTTTTTAGCAAAGATATTTAGCCAAAGCACGATATCTTATAAGCACGTTTAATTGTGGCTTGATAACTCAACTCAACTATACCTGTATCATTGAATTAATCGACCAACTTCGATCGAAATTTGTTTTTAGAAATATTTGTTAAAATGAGATAGAATGAGGCTGCATTAAAAAAATGGGTTTCTATTGAACGAATAATCATCGATTTAGAAAACTATGATCAATCAATCTGATCGCCTATCAGCGACTTTAATCCGTAGTTAATTCATTATTAATCAAAAAAATTCATTATTTATCAGTTATATTTTAACAAATTTATATAAAACCAAAAGCCAAATCAATGAAGCATTCATATACACCAGAATTCAACAAATTATCAGACCCGTAGTCATACTATTTACAAAATGTACAACTGTTTTATAAATATTCCGCTAAAGTTAGAACTATATTTTTTTTATTTTAATTATTCATTAGAGATGTTATAATCATATGCTATATAAATTAATAAGCAACTACTAAGGAAAAAGGAGGAAAAAATTTAAAATTTTCTGACTACAGGCCTTCAATAGGATTTTTAAAAACGGACATCGTATGAGCAAGTTATCAGATATTTACATCAACATTTACCATCATTAATGCTTTACGAAAATATACAAATTGTGTGACAGATTTATTATTTATCGACAAAAGCTATCGATATTTATTGAACCAAAAAAAGGATTATGTTATTCTACAACTTTCAAAAGATACGGTAATAATTTTCAAACCCAAAAAATAATGGTACTTATTTACTTATTTTCTTAAACAAAAAACCAAATCCATTGTTGATTTGAAGGAATCAATCAAAACGAAGAATCAAAATATTCAGTAAGGATTGGTGCTTGAGAACATTTAAAGCCTGAATTATTCATGAGTAATTTAGGCTAATAGATTCTGATTGCATTACTTAATAATTATCGACTGATTAAGCCGTGAAACATCGAGGTTCCTTTTTTATTTCGAATAAATATGTTTTCTTCAATGATATCACTTACCTATTTGTTTGGGCTAAAATTTTTAACTTTTTCAACAAATTTTAGATCAAATTACTAAGCAATTTATTACATATTTCGCAAATCTACTCCGTAATTAGATAAAGCACGATTTATATCCTACAAGCATCTACTCTAATTTATGTTCGTCAAGCTAGCAAGCTGGTTGGAGAGATGGGAGGGGAATAATAAAATTAATGGGTTCTATATTATATTACACTGTAGAAAAAAATTTGGATATGCCAGATAGAGAAGGAAGAGAATAATCTATTAAAGAATAAATTCGATATTTTTTACGAACCGAATGGCTTTCCATTGGTGGCGAAATGTCATGGGTTAACGGGTTGCATGAATGATTCAGCGAGTTTTATTCCTTTAAAAATAAAGAGAAGAAAATGATTCAATGTATGATATTTCCTAAAATACAAATGGTCTATCTCCCCATAAGAATGAAGAAAGAAGGCCTTCCATACTAGTTGCAAGAATAAAAAAAAATAAAACAAATATAAACGTGAATAAAATCTCTCATAAAAGTTACGCGATGCGATGAATTCATTTCCGCGAAACATAAATGAGAAATTAATAAATACTAAATAATTATTTAAATAAAAACCAAAAGAATAAAAGGAAGCAAGTAAAATTGATTAATTATATACGAACGTATCTTGTGAATATGGATTCGAATGTACAAGAAGTTCCTGACCGTATTGCGGGGTCATACGTTTTTCTTTTTGCCTCCTATTACAAAACCAAACTCTGACGACTTCTTTTTCTAGTTGAAGCTCTAGCGCAACTTGCGCAATTTCCTGAGCATTAGGCTTAGGATTTTTTTGAAAATGATATTCTAAGCGATTTTTTACTTGTACTTCAATAGAAGTGCGCTTTTTTCGTTTCCTTCCACCTTGTCCAGTCATTTTTTCAAATGCACTATTTGGAGATGAACTTGTTGAATCTGCTTCCTCTAACCACTTATATAATAACGGCTTTAATTTACACATATTCTTAAAACTCAATTGTAAGGCTTCAAAGCGACATATGGTAGTTTGACTAAATACATTTCCATAGAGTGTGCCAAGTGCTAAGCCGACATCTGCCTGAGTATATCCAAGTTTAATCCTTCTTTGTTTAAAGGCCTTAGCAAATGCTTCAAGATCTTCAGAACAAGTCGAATCTGAATCATCAGGTAGTTGATTAGAACATAAAGCTAAATCTTCTTGTGAGAATGTATAAGGCCATGATGATGGAGCAGCAGATAATCGTTGAATAATATCAGGTCGTTCTGGCTCTTGTTTCATCTCAACTTGTGATTGTGGTGGAGGTGGCGGTGCCATAACGGTTGATTGCTGCAACTGTTGAATATGCGCATGATGATGATGATGATGATATGATGACCAATCAGTCTGAGAAGGAAATAATAGCTGAAATGAGGCACTAGCCTGGGGCGGATACTGTATCGGTTGTTGACTAGGCCAACGTTCACCGATTTCTTGAAAAGCTTCACAGGTCGGTTTAATAACTTGGGTATATGTCGCTTCTTCAGGAGCAGAAAATGCTGACGACAACATAGCGATTCTATGATGGAAAATGGCCTTTCGTATATAGAAGGAAAAAGAGAAGAAGAAGGGTACGCTCTTTTTGGTGTTCAGCCGTCGTTCATTGGTTACCATTGATCCGCCCTTTTCGCCCATCCCGAAAAACCTTTCATTATGAAAATATTTTCGATTATTCTCGATTATTTATTTCAAATTATAACCCACTTTCGTTTTTTTATTTTAGCATTTTTTTAACTTCTCATCGGATATGAAATTCTCATTTTTATCACCGAAAAAAGCATACAGGTTTTTTTAAAAATTAATCAGTTGAAACCATTCTTTAATCACCCCTTTTACATCAAATTTTTTTTTATCATCAAATTAATTTTTCCTCATTTCAAAATCCCTTTCATGAAAACTTCACTCAATTGGACGAGTAAACTTCACAAAATAGTACAAGTCGTTGCTTGGTGCAGGGGTAGACGGTACTTCATTAAGTGCCCACTTTATAATCACATTTAAAATACCTTGAGAAAAATTAATCGTAATATCTTACGTTTGTTATTTCCTAAAGGATAATCCAGAAATTGTTCGGGAAAGAATTACTGAGTATTCTCGAAATAAGTCGAACCTTAATATATTTAAAGCGATTTCTAAGCAGCACATTTTTGTCACATCATCATTTCATTGAAACTGGCAGTTAACCATTAAATGTTAATATTTACTCTCGGTCAGGAAGTTCTCGAGATTATTCCTTTTCCTATAATTCGTTTCTTATATAAAATTTATAAAACACGTGATTTAGGGGTTAAAGTTTTAAAGTTTAATAAACTTCAATTTACTTAAAATTGACTTGTTAACGAACCTAATCAATCGCCAAAATAAATTAAATGCAAATTATTATACAATCGCAAGTATTAAGCAAATAATACCTACTACCAAATCCAAATTCAACTTTTGTTTTATTATTTATTTCACTACTGGACAGGATGGAATCGGCTTCTTTTTATCAAATAATGCCAATAATATTAAATGTTAAAAATTTGAAGAATTAAATAAATTTTTTTTAAATATTTAAAAGTAATTATTCTAAAATAGCCGAGAAAAATTCATTTTAATCAGCAAAAGTGAATAAATCCTACTGAAATGAAAGGTACTTTTCGCTTTCGGTATTTTTGAAGAATTAATAAATTCGAGTGAGATGAAGAGTGAAGTATCTGTAATGCATTACATTAATTTTCTATTCAAATTAAGTTCGAAAAGGTAAATCATAAAAAATTATCGTATTTTGATAATATTTTGCAGGGATGAAAATGAACCACTTAATGCCGATTTTTCGTACAAATTAGTCGGAATTCTGAATTCTTAGCTCTTTGATATCTGAAAAAATTATTCCTAATTCATTTTCGACCATAAAACTGCACATATAGTAAATGAAGGATACTTTATTAAAAGCTCTATCATCTTAACAAATCATTTTTATTTTACTTAACAAAGTTCCAGAAAGATAATATCAATAAGTAAATCTCTGAATTTATGCGATAAATTATCCATTTTGTTAATCTCTTTTATAATTCTTGAAATGAGCAAAGAAAGAAAAAAGAATAGTTTTCTTCATTTGAAATGATACCTATTGTTTTCAATTTATTAATTGTTGTTGTTAATTGATCGTAGATAATTGTAAAATGTGTTAGAAACGGATCCAAGTGAATTATCAGTTTTGCCAACATCACATAATCTCTATTTATTTTGGCAAATATGGACGAGGAATCTTTGTTAGTTTCTGCAAAAATATGATATACGATGGTTTAAGATGGTTTAAAATTGATTACAGCTAGATATACCGAATAAAACGCATAGAAGAAAGCTAAAAGTTCCTAAATGCATAAATTGCAGAGTGAATTGCACGAATTACTCTAGTGACCATCAATATTTATGGTTAATATCTATGAATTCTGGCTTTTTTATAATTTCCAGTCTTGATGTTATTGCCTATTGCAATATTCGCAGTTACAATACTCTCTTTCTTACCGTACCGATTACTAACTTTATCAACAAGTGAAAAGCGTAAGACGACATCCTTCATTTGAAAAAATCTTGCAAGTTCGATTTGGTAAAATACCAAAATTTATTTTTTATAATATTTCGTTATTTAATTATAGATAAGGAAAATTTAAAAAATGCTTAAAATTAGAACTAATTTGAAGCCAATTTACTTGATTTAAGAAACTTTGCATGGTGCAATTCAGGGAAATTGCTATAAAGTGATTTGCTATGATCATGAAGTACGTTATAGAAATGAATTGCGTTGTATTATGTGCCATAGGCAATCAAACAGCAATGATGATTGTTATTAGTATACGGTAAAAGAAGACATTTCTCTCACTCTCGCTCGATTCGATTCACAGCCATTATCATCCAACATTATTTTGTTATATAGCGAAAAAGGGAAAAATAAAGTTATGCATAAGAGAGATGGAACTGAATGATTTTCGAAGAGATTTTAAAGAAATGCGATGAAAAAAGACGGAAATTTCAATAGTTAAATTTGATGAAAGATGATAAGAAAAATCAAATAAAAGAAGATTTTTAGTTCGTTGCTTAACGAATTAGATTAGCATATGTAATAAGGGAGCGGCTATCCTCTAAATGCAGGTGATCATCATCGCCGTCGCCGCCGTCGCCATCAACAATTTTCTCGATAGAACATTTGATTGACATATTCTCTCGAATGTAACGCTGTACTACAACTGTACACCCACAAAATATATACAATTTTGCACCGTTCTTTAACTCGCTACCGTATTTTTGGCGGAAAGCAGTCATTTATTGATAGTTTTTATTTAGCACCACACACATTGTTGCTATAAAGAACTTTTTCTTTACAGTAGTTATGGTGAATAGTGAAGTACAACAGCTGTTGCCCTGATAGTTGGGAACAGATGTAATAAATAAAGTTTTTTTTAGAGGATGAGAAATTTGAATCCGATTTTTAAAATAAACTGCTACTTGTTACGATAGAATAAGTGTCCGATTCACCAGAACCGTGAATTTAAAGTCGCCAGAAAATATATAAAAATTTGCAAGTGCCATGAACTGAATCCTTCGTAACTCTCAATTAGCTGAGGAATTTGATTATACGACCCACAAAATGCAGTGACCCTTATTGTCAGTCCCATTCTTTTTCCTTAAATGATAAAAAAAGTTTTATATAAATTCCTAATAATATTTAAATGGAAAAATTAGCAGAACAACCGATCAATTATTTCATAGCGCAATTAAAATTAAAATCACCGCTAAACTTTGAATAATTAAATTTTCAATCAATTTTATATTGCATGAATTTTTAAAACTTTTAAATTAAGCCAACATTCATCCACCATTCGTTAAACAATGTCTTCTGTTTGCATTTAGGCACTGATCGTAAATTCCTTGATAAATCTATAGGAATCCGTGTAAAAGGCCAGAATTTCAATAATTTTAATAATATCTTGAAATATACTTAAGTTGTAAATGGTATCTCAATTAATCTAGTTAAATTTTGAATATTATGAAATGTTATATTGGCTTGTTGATTAAAATCAATCGCAATTCTTAGTCCAATAAGACCGAGGAATTCTTTCTTCCGAAAAAAAAAATATAATTTTTATCAGTTTTGCAACGTTATGTCGCATACTTCTTTAAGTTTTTGAGTTGTCTGTCCATTTATTTATTATATATCCCTACAAATAATATCAACTCGATTAATTATTGGCTAATTAAGCCAATTAGATAAATTATTCAGTTCGATATTGAAGAAGAGGCCTAAAAGCAATTGAATAAAATTTTGAAAAGCTCCCATTTATCTAATTAAGAAGCATCATGACTGATCCTTTCCACTTGTGATTCCTCCAGAACCTACTAAAAAGATTCTAATGCTAAGGAAGTCAGACCACCCATAAGCAATCAAATAATGTATGCCGTTTATTATTTTTTACTATAATATGACACATTAAAAATATTCTATAATGAATGAGTGGAAAAATTGCTATTTATCAAAAATTGCTTACGTCATCTTTTCAGCTTATCGCAAAAATTTTCTACAGATTTATACAAAAAATAAGAAAAAGATTAAACTAAATCAAAACATAAGCGAGGGATTATAATTAATAATAAATTATTGTCGAGCAGATCTAAACAAAGGTGAAGTCTCAGTGAAAATCAGGTCCTAATAGGGAAATTTATAGCGAAAATTTCCAAAGCCGATTTTCAAACAAATTTAATTTTTTGATAAATATTATAACATGAACATGAATGGGCAAGCTAAAAATTGGAGTTGTCCACATATTCCATTCGGACAAATCCCATATCAATATCGCCTGATCAACTTTTCCATTTGATTTCAAACATTTAAGGTAGAAACCATTTTATTGATGCCTTGACTTCCAATTATGGTTCCAGTTCACATATTCTTAGTGGAATAATCATTGGCTTAAAAGTATGCAAATAGGTACGGTTTTGAAACAAATTATTATATCTCAAGCAAACATTAGGTCAACAAGTAAATCTCTTAGCAGTGATAGCATTAAGATGTGCACAGATGGAAACAGGTCAATCCCAGTTGCTTAAACTAATTGGCCGCTTCGATAACATATAAGCAATCTACCATTTTAAGCAAAGCAAATTAATTAACTCAATAATTGGGCAAATTGACTGAACGTTGTGATTCTTCAATAATGACTTTTCATCATAATTCACAGATTCCAAACTGCATTCGCCCAATGGTTGGTTATATCAAATTTTCAATTTTTTAAGGAAGTTAAAATCTTTAAGAGAAAATAATAGTGCAATCCATTTTTTAACATCACTGTGCCGATTTCTAATGAGTAATTAAGCACAGTTATAAGATCTTTGTCCGCTTATTTTTCAAAACACTTATTCAAATACCAGCGGAATCGATTTCAAGCCAATTAGTCGAAATTGTCTCATAGTAATTTCATTATGAGCGAACAATCCTCAAGCGGACAATCATAAACCAATTTCCTTAAATATTA